AAATTGCTTGGAAAATGAAAAAGAAAAAGAGAGGGAAAAAAAGGGGCTGCTGCTTCTTCAAAGGAAAATGAAAAAAAGTTTCTGTCTTCATTCAGCATTATATTGGTTTATTATGTTGGGTAGTGTGTTAGCTTTGTTTGACATTGAATTGCACTAGTTACACATAAATAAGTCGATTTAATTTTAGAGATTATTGGTTCAGTTCCACTTTGAGAAACTATTTCAGACTAATCTTTTTGTACGTTTGAAAACTATTTTATTTTCCATTTTCCTCTTTTAATTAGGTTGCAGTTATCTTGTAAATACTAAAATTAATGGAAGTCGTTATAAAACCGATGGTTTGTGTCATTAAACTTTGTAGCAAATAGTTGCTTGATGAGATTAATTCGTCACTTTTACAGCCACTCCGTCGGCTATAGCTGTTCTTGATAAATGTATCACATTAACAACAGTCGATCCAATAGAAACCGTTCAATGTATGTATAATATCTGTTTGTGTTCAAAGCCCTGGATTTTCTATTTAGAAAACAAAATGAAAAGGTAACACTTGCTGTAAATGGACTTGGTATTTTTCTTTGCAAATTCTAATGGCTTTGTCGAAGTTTATTGTAAATGGGTTGTATTTGACGATTATTGTTATATATATATATATATCAATCCACAACAGTTTGTTTTGAAGGAAAAAAGGAACAAAAACGAAACTAACAAAGCTGAGATGGCTGAAAGATTGAATATCTGACTCACTTATATTGAATTCATAGACATATAGACATGGTTTCAGCTTGAAATTAAGATGACATTTACAAGAAGTAGAAAAGCCCTTTGGTTCCATAGTTGGAAAAGTCAAATGATACACACAAATGACTCACACTGCAGTCTGCAGTCCACTGGAGCTATATGAAGTTGGTAATTCTTCAGCCTCTCGCGTCTTACTCCGAGTGAGAAGTCCAGTAAATCAACCCACTGCAACACAGTATTTCAGGAAAAAACATAAATGGACAATAACATTATAAGAACCTCCAAAAAAGAAACAGATCATGTTCCTGAGAGATGGTATTGGTTAGTTATACGTGATACTTGTGCTAGTGAAGAAACCCCCCAATGGTTTTGTTTTTCTACAGAAATAATGCAATGAATACCAAATATTAAGGGCATCAATTGATTCAGCATCAGATGGCTAAGAAGACAATATCCCCGTTCAAGCAAAAACTTAGTTTATGGCATTATTAAAACATGTTACGTAGATTTAGGGAGAGTGGAACATAGATATTACTATATCGGTCATGCTCAAAATCAAGAGAAACATCAAGATGAAAGAACCCCATAAGCTTTTCTTTGATAATGTGCCTTGCAGAATGATTCCACGACAAACTAGGTGAAGTGGATAATAAAAAGAGGCAGCATGTTTGTTGGCACAAATCCTAATAAAAGACAGATAGGAGAAATAAGAATTAAGATGATCAAAACGGGGAAGGCCAATTTACCTAACCAACACAAACACACACTGCAGTACTCCTGCGACTCCTGTCCACACTGATGGCCCTGTTTTTACTACTGAATCTTGTATCAAGAGTCCCACTGATGCTGCTAATGAAACGAATGATACCACATAAGCGAAGAAGAGCCAAAGCTTCAATCTGTTGTCGAGGGAAGCGTCAGTATAGTTAATTACAGAAATACACTATCACCACATTAACATAAATATCAAATTCACAATGTTATCAGCGGATTCATCTAACTTTCGTATGCTTTATAGGTCTAAAACGTGAGGCTTATTTCCATGATATTCTAAGTAAAAACTACCAGATAACTAGCATATTAATTCAACATGTCCTAACATGAACCAATATTGTAGTCTAGCATGAAAGCGGAGGGCATATAATTTTTTTTTTGAAGAAATATTAACTCATCCTACACCTTCAATAAGCAGATAACCAGAACGTTTGCAACTGAGCTGTAAGCACAGCAGGAAACTCTGGCTTCTGCTGCCTGGAAAAAAGAGAACAGTTTCTAAAACATGCACCTGCTAATTCCTTCTAAAACTAGCAAAAATTGAAGGGACTGTTCTGGTCTGTGTCAACTTTTTCTCGTTTCATCATCCTTTTGTTACTCCGTGCACTTTTTATTGCGGCTAATTCTTCACAGTGATTAAACCATATGGAGCAAGTTGCAATTTGAATGTCAATACCGTGCACTATTTTGTTATTTACTCAATTGGAGAGTCAGTATGTGCATAATTAATGTCACCCTTCATTGGTTAGTTCTCGTACTAGTTTGGCAGCTACACCCATTGATCCATAAGGCTTCCATATAGATTTGAATTCTACAACTACCACTTTAAGAACTTCATTTTTAAGAGGGTGTTAATGAAGTTTCTACTAGATTTCAGCTTGCAAGTCATTAATAGTTTTATTCCCAAACAAGGGTCACAACTACTCAAGGTGTGAAGAGATGGTCTTCAATGCATCATACCATACCAAACCACCTGATAAGTTCAAAGCCCCCTTCACAAATTATATTCAGAACTTCATGATCCCTATGAAAGTTAATATTTTTCTTTGGTCTCTCTTTTATAGAAGTCCCAAACTCAACTTGTTTTCTTCTTTTTTATGAAAATGTTTCAATTCAATATACTGCCGACACATTACAGAAGTTCCCATTTTGGGCATTGTCGACGAGGAACTCATATCTTCCTCTATTGTTTTTTTTCTCTTGTCGGTTGGTCAGTTTTCTTCTTTTTCTTTTTTTTCTTTTTTCATTTTGATGAATAACCGGGCTTTGATGGATAATCAGCTGGTCTTTTCTTTTGCTAGAATTTGTATTCAGTTTGTCTTCCTAGACAGATGGACCTATACAGCATTGAATTTTCTTTTAAGATACGTCTGCTTCGAAGGATACCCTTTGAAATATCATATACAGCATACTACCTCTAGACAGTGATCAAACCACAAAAAATTATTTCATAAATCTAGTATTTTCGTGATTATTCTCCAATTGAAGGATCACCTTTTGTAGTTTAGTGAGTGAAGCTTCCTCTTCCCCAACCACTAGATTGATCTATAAACCTCTTTAGGTCGTGTATCTCGTCAAATGCATCTTAATCCTGAGATAGCAATCCTATAAGATATGATGTTTGGGAGGAATGATAAATGTTAAAAAGAGATTTTCTCGTCACAAAATTTTTATTTCTGTACAAAATCAAGATGAGTAGTGACTCTTCTATCTTAGCTCTTGAGCATCACAATCTCTAATACACCACTTTCAGTGGCTCTTCGCTAATGTTTACTATCACTTGGACCATTCTATCAGGAAGTTACGTTCTGTGTTTCCGTTCCTGATAGCTATGCACATGCATGCTCTTCAACATCAACTCTCCTATCACTAGGCACATATTTACGTACTTCCTGAACAATCTCACTCTTGCCCCTTAGTTCATTCTCTACTCAACCCACTAAATTGGAGAGATGGATCAAAAAGGGTATAAAAGAATTGAATGATGGGGTGTCCAATTAATATTCGGTACAGTATAAATGTTGCTCGCAAGAAAAAAAAAAGAGAGAAGTCTCGGTGCAGAAATTGCATCCCTAAATTGCTCTTACAAAACACGGCCATTGACGCAATGTTTAACTTGTGTTTCCTGTTTGATTTTTCATCTTATCCAAGCTTATAATATTCAATTGCACAGGTTCAAAGTTCCTGATGAGTGCTCCAACCAAGCCCTACCCCAACTTCTATTGCAAACACGCAAGGTTTGAATCGAAGTGCATTCGATATTCTAAATTGCAAATTACGAATTAAGACCCAGGTGTAAGCTACGAGTTCATAAGATCCTAACACATCCAGGGAGAATAATCCTAACAAGGTACTAAATCACAATCCACATCAACTCATCGAAGAAGAACACAGTGACATTGCTTTCAATCGAGACAAATGATCAGACAAAGAGGGCCACAACATGATTAGTAGATAAGAAAAAAACTTCTCACCTCCATTCGCCCTCCTCATATGGAGAATAATCGATGTCTTCTCTGCGAACGCAATTGAACATCAAAGCCGCAAAAGAAGCAAAAATACCTACTACCCCAATACCAAACCACCGTCAAAAACCCTAACGGACTCACAAATGAATAAAGCGCGAGGCGAGAATAAAGAACCTGGGAGGTAGTGGACGAAGGAAACTGCAACAGAACTGCAGACAACGGCGTCAACCCAGAACCACCATCCGGCACCAAACACAGCTCCGGCGACGCCAGGGCCGAAAATTGACCACAGCTCCGCCAAATCCATTTGTGGCTTCTTTCTTTTGCGTTCTCCTTGCGCTAGAGATTTGAGACGGGCCGATTTAGAAAAGCAAATATGAACTGAATGACAGCACAGCTCCCATCGATCTTCAGTTGAAGTTCTGATATTATTCTCCGCCTTTTTCTATATATATATATATAATTAAATTACAAAATTTCGTCCATTAATTTACATATTTTTTAAAATTATTTAATTGTCTAATTCTATGTTTAATCAATTATTTAATTTTTAAACACATATTTAATAATTATTACTTATTTTGTATTTTAATTTTAAATTTTGTGTTAATCGATATTTGGATTTTAAATTTTGCATTTAACAAATTATTGCTTATTCAATATATTTTTTAAAATTTTAATTAGAAATAGAATATAAAATCTATGTAATATATTAGTTAATTTTAAATTAATTATTATTATTTTTTTTCTGAAAATGTAACTTGAAAATGATTGATATGTGTAAGAGAAGAGAGCATCTTGAAAAAGAAAAAGAAAAAAAAGCATAAAATTGGGAAAAATTACAAATAAAGAAAATCTGTGAAAAAAAAAAAAAAAAAAATTAGGCAAGGCATAGATCCGATAAAGCAATTACGCGCAGTTAAGCCAATGGGTGTATGACACGTGGATAATCATACACCCTCACTGGCAACCTAATAAAAATATCTTCTAGAAACCAACTGTCTTCACTGCCTGCAAATAACGCGATTCTCTCTCTTCTCCTCTCTTCTCTCTCATCTCAATCGAAAGCGAAATCGAACTGCGAACAAAATTAAATCATTTCACAAGAAAAAGGGATCCGAATACAACAAGAACCATACTAATTTCAGACCCCAATTCTGGTTTTCAGCTCATCCTTTCCTCATCTCTCCCTTGTAACCGAAGAGTTGGACCAGGATTTCAGGATTAGGGTTAGGGTTAGGGTTTGTTTTTTTCTTCGTTTAATCTACGTAGTTTGTGCATGCGAGGGCTTGGATCAGAAAAGCGTATGTATGGGAGTGTTGGTATTTGGATAGAGTGGAATATGGGGCTTTGACTATGGGACGCGCCACGGATGGGTTGAGTTCTGGTTATTGTTGGTGATGACTAGAGACCGATGTCACCTGGGAAAGAAGATGATGGGTAGGGGTGCGGATGGAGGTTGTGGTACTGAGGAGAGGCCTTGTTCAGTGGCACGAGTGCCGAACAGAATAACGTTGGCCCAAACTCAAACACACGAGGAGAAGTTGTCTACTGTGGACATTGATTATTACGCGCAGGCTCAAAAGGCTTTATGTGACCGTTCGCCATTTGATGTAGCGGAAGAAACTTCAGCTCCTTGTGTGTCTACTTTGCCCAGTAGGTTGGGTAACTTCTTGAGTAGACATACGGGTGGTAAGAAACGGCAGAGAAAATCCAATTCCGGGGCAGACAAGAAGTCTTCTAGACAAGGTGAAAGGTCGCGTGGCTCCAACATTTGGGTTGAGACAGAGGAATATTTTAGAGACTTGACGCTGTCTGATGTAGACACTTTGCGTGCAGCGTCTTCCTTTAGCGGGTTAGTGTCTAGGAAATGTTTTTCAATTCCCTCATCAGGAAATGTCCCAGAAGCAAATGTGGGTGGCAGTGAGAATGTTAGTGACGAGAATACGGATGGGGCCATTGTTAAAGACGAGGTTGAGGATGATCGTTTGTGTCCGGATGTGGGCATGGTTGAAGCCAGTGGCTCACTTCTGGAGGACAAGGGTTGTTCGAATTTGGATTCTTCTTGCGGCTTAGAATGGCTTTTAGGCTGTAGGAATAAGGTGTCTTTAACTTCGGAGAGGCCTTCAAAGAAGCGGAAGCTTCTAGGTGGTGACGCAGGGTTGGAAAAAGTTCTGGTTGCTTCTTCTTGCGATGGAAACTCATCTTTATGCCACTTTTGCTCCAAGGGCGGTACTAACAAAGGGTTAAACCCGTTAGTTACTTGCAGTCGTTGTCATGTGGTGGTTCACAAGAAGTGCTATGGCATTAGAGAGAAAGTCAATGGATCCTGGTTGTGTTCTTGGTGTAAGCAGAGGGATGAAATTAATGAATCCACGAAACCTTGTTTGCTCTGTCCCAGGCAGGGTGGTGCTCTGAAACCTGTACACAAAAACGTTGACAGTGGAGTTTCTGTTGAATTTTCTCATTTATTTTGTAGTCAGTGGATGCCAGAGGTATATATAGAGGACTTGACGCAGATGGAGCCTCTTATGAATCTGGGAGGCATTAAAGAAACCCGGAAAAAGTTAGTATGTAACATATGCAAAGTCAAGTATGGAGCCTGTCTTCGGTGCAGCCATGGTATGTTTATTGCCCCCATTATTTCTACCATACTCCTTTTCTGTTTGGATAATGCATCAGAAGCACATTCTACGTGGCTACTATGGTCGTCAGATTTTGGATCATGTTTTTCTTATTGACTTCTATATGCTGTTGTAATGGGTAGATTATTTTTATTCTTTCTAGCAGAAAAGCATGTTTATGGTTTATCTGTTAATGTCATTTGTACAGAATATTTTAGAAGTTGGTCGAAATCTGAAATCAGTGAACAATTTTTTTCTACTACTCTCGAGGTTTGATTTTATATTCCTGGTTGCTCTCTCTCTCCGTTCCCCGCTCCATCTTTCTCTCTCACACATACACAATTATGCTTTCTGACTTCTTAGGAAGATTAGTTCTTGAATTATCTTACTACTACCATCCTATTGATAGGGAGTATTAAGAGAGTGGCGTTTGTTCATAGTTGTCAATTAATTAATTTTGTTTTAGGTTTATGAAATTCAAATAAATGACGGGTATTTATGTCGTGTTAGACAGTCTCTTTTAAAAACATGCCGATTGGGGGCGTTAACAGGGAAAACTAGTTTCTTCTTTCATGCTTTGTCTGTCATATAGACTGATAGTTATAGGGGAAACTTTCTTATAGGATGTTAGTGGATCCTGATTTGCCATACAGAAATGAGTTCCAGGAATTTCTAGATATTTTAGAATTCGTGCATTCCTACTTATCAACCTCTTATTGGAACTCTAAAGTGCCGAGTAAATGCACTTTTTTTATGGATAGAAAACATTGTATTAACTCAAACAGCAGATAAAGGAGACAAGATGAACAATTATCCTCCCAAAAAAATCAGAGAGATAGATCAAAAAGACTCCAATGGACTTGAATCAAGGTTATTGGATTTTACGCAACTCCTCAATTAGAGAAATTGGACCAATTTAAACCCCAAATCTTTCATTGTCAAAGAATTCTATGATTTTTTTATCTAATCTCCAACAAAATAGTCATTAATAGACTCGAGATTTTCTGTCTTTTTCTTTGATTATACATACCTCTTGTAAATTTCACTCATCAATGAAATTGTCTCTTATCCAAAAAAAAAAAAAAAAAAAAAAAAATTT